AGAATGAGCACCATTATAACACATACCTCCCAGGCTACACCAGTGTACAGTGCTCAAGTACTGACCACGCAGGACTGGTGGGGACTGGTGTGCCCTGTCCGTGTGGCCCAGGTGGATGTCTCTCAGATTGGGCACGAAGTGAGTGAGGCAGTGGTATGTAAGTAATCAGAGGCAAGCACCAATGAATCCTATAGCAGTAATAGCTATTACTTCCTTCGCAGCAGAAGGTATGGCCAGAGGGAACTGCCCCTATGAGCTGACTCCCTGTTTTGATCAGGCTGCTCTGTCCTGCAGTGCCCTCCTTCCCCCTCGTGCCTGTCATGTGTCGGCCACCCCTGTGCCTGCTGCCCAGCAGAGGGACAGACCATACCCTGTGCTGTCTCACACAGATCTCCCCCTCCACTTTTCTGGCACCGGCCAGTTCTCAGGACCCACCTGGCAGCCTTGAGTACCATTTGTGTGGCTGTGTGTCTTATCTCTGCCTGTCCTTGATCTCTGCAGTTCAGGGCTGCTTCCCGTTCACTGCTTGGTCTTGTACATATAATAGCTTCTCAGTAGTTAGACTGTCGGACTCATTGGGAAGGCAGTCAAAGCTGGGAGGGTGAGCTGGACTTGCACCCAGGCTGCAAGATGAGAAAGGAGCCAAAAGGTCAACTTCTACTACATGATCCTTTTGAGCCAGGATAATGAAAAGGACCCATCCTATCCTGATTGTTCTGTCCATATGGCCAGGACTTCCGGGACTTGTGATGCTTTGGTCGTGTGAAGGGAGCAAGAAATGGGAGTTTGGGATGAGTGGTGTAGAAAAGAGAAAAGAAACCCAGAATGGGCCCAGATTGGGGCCCAGGACCTTTTCTTCCTCTCTTCCTTCCTGCCTTCTTTCCTCTTAAGGCCACAGTGATTCCTGGCAGTAGATCTCATGGGAGTCCTCTGGGAGAAGCTGGGTGTGGGCTGCCTCCGAGGCAGCAGACTCCAGTTTCTCTAGGTTTTTCTTTCCGACACCCTTGGATCCTATTGTTCCCAGAACATTGGGAATTTGAGTGACTCTGAAGTAGGAGAGCTCCTAGCGTAATGAAGAGACTGGGGTTTCCTTGGTGGGAGTTGGTGTTTGTAGACAGAGTTGTGGAGGTCTGTTCAGATGGGAACTCTGACGGAAACCATTCCACATTAGCCCTGCTGACCCTCACCCTGAGACTCCTGAAATGAAGGTCTGACAGTCAGTCACATGTCATGATTGAGGATCCTAACGACGTACGTGATTACAGTTGGCTCTGCCTGGGCTGGTGTGAGGCAGGGATGGGTGGGGGCACTAGGAATCCGGCACAGAGTTCTGATCTTTGCCATTTAGTCACCTGGCCCCAGTGTTCTGATGACAAACTGCTGCCTCAGGATGTCTGTAGGAGGCATGTGGGAGCTGGGGCGCAGTGGTAGAGCGCTTGCCTAGCGAGTGTGAGGATATGTATATCGTGGATGTGTTACTCAAACCACTTGCTGCCTCAGGATGTCTGTAGGAGGCATGTGGGAGCTGGGGCGCAGTGGTAGAGCGCTTGCCTGGCGAGTGTGAGGCTATATATATCGTGGATGTGTTACTCAAAGAACCATGGTGTTGGGGTGTTTCAGCTGGTGGGCAAAGCCTGGCTCTGCCCCATCTCTTAGTGTCTAGTTTCCCAGGGGTGTGTGCTCATGAAGGCCCCACGCCTTAGAAGAAAAGAAGTAGGTGGACGATTGAGAAGGAAGTCACGGGTCGCCAGCCTCCCCAGTCCCAGGGCAGTGGGGAGGCTGATTTGGGGAACAGTGAGGAGAGGTGAGGGCAGTCGGGGTAAGGGCAGAGAGGAGGAACGTGGCAGAGGGTGAGGCAGTTTGTGGCATGTTAAGCCTGCATCGTGGCATCTCTGGGGAAAGAGGTGGCCAGTATGATGGGGTTGGTGGTGGCAGATGTGAGCCTGCTGTGTCTGCCAAAAAGGTCACAGATATTTTTAGGAAGTAGGTGATGAGGGTTGTTTCTGTTGGACTCCTCATTAGGGTCCGCTGTTGGCCTAGCTGTGGGCTGGGTGCCCAAAGGAGAGGCTACCCTCTCCACCCAGGCTTGTCCCTGTGGGTGTCCCGAAACCTGGGTTTGGAGGTGGGGAAGGTAATGAGTTCAGTTTAGAATTGTGGTGCCTTTGAGATCCCAAGTAGGTCCATGGGTTCAGGGCTCAGGAGGTGTCTGGCTTGGACAGGGGTTTTGCTGAGGTTGTGTTTATATTTGAAGTCATTGTCATGGTGATGTAAAGAAAGTTGAACAAATAAGGAAGACGGAAAAAGAGGAGCCCAAGCTAATTCATTGCAGGAGCTAGAGTCAACCTGCTTCAGTAGGACAGGGTGGCCAGAGGTGGCACTGTTGCCGTGGTGGTCAGGGATGTGCAGTAGCTATTATGGTGGGACAGTGGGAACAGATGTCAGATTGGAACAAAGGAGGGACAAGTGGACCAGGATTTTGAGGCTTTGACAGGAGGATGTCCCCAGGGAGTGTTTGTGTGTTCTTAGCTCCTGCTGCCTTTTGTCTGGGGGTGGGGCTGGTGTGCCCTCTCTACGCAGATATAGGTGCCTGTGAAGCTTTGGTCCTTTCACAGACTCATGCTGCGGACCTAGTCTTGAAGCCTGTTTGTGACTTCTTTGTCACTGGCAGTAACTCTGGGATACTGTTGGTGCAAGTGACTCCAGGTTTTTGTTCTTAGTGTGGAATCATCATAATTTATTATACCTTTTTCCACCCTGCTGGGGGTTTAAATCATTTACTATTTTGTTTGTTTGTTTTTAAGAAGGGAAGGGGTGTGTTTTAGTCCATAGTCAGCCAACTCCAAGGCAGGGATGACAAACAGGAATAGCAGAGCAGAAACAACTTGGCATACACAAGGTAGCAAAGGTAACGAGAAGAGATACTATTTTTTTTTTTTTTTTTTTTTTTTTTTGGTACCAGGGATGGAACTTGGGATCTTGGACTTGTAAGGCAGGCGGCGGAACCACTGAGCTAAATCCCTGGCCCCTCGTTTACTGTTTTCATTGATTTGAACATAAACACTTTTTTGGGGGGGTACTGGGGGTCAAACTTGGGGCCTTGCAGTTTTGAGGCAGGCAGCAAAACCACTGAGCTAAATCCCCGGCCGTTTTGTTGATTTGAATTAAAGCTGGAATAAGCAGCTAGAAGAACCCTGATTGGACTCTTATTGAGTATTTATTTGGGAAGAGTTTATGTTATTATGCTATTAAGTTTTTGGAATTATTAGACATTATGAATGAGAGTCTAACTGGATGTACTAGAATTTTCAGTACTTATATTTATTTTTTGTCCTTTCTACTTTTTTCTTTTCCTATTAGTCATTAACTTCCCTATTATTCATTCCTTCTTTTGATTTATTTTATTGCTCACCCTTTAATATCTACTTTGGTTCACTGATTTTTAGTCCTTTAAGAAGTATATAATATGTAGCCCTTTGCTTTGAGTGCAGTACTAGCTGGTGCCCTTTTGTACAGTGCCCTCCCTGTCCTTTGCTCTCTAGTCATTCTGCTGTAAATCAGTTTTTGTTGTTTGTTTTGTTTTTTTGTGATCCTGTAGCTCAGGCTGGCCCTGAACTCATGATATTCCTGTCTCAGCTTTCCAAGTGCTGGGATTATGGGCGTGCACTACCACACCCAGCTGTAAATCAATTTCCATCCAAGGATTATTTAGTAGGTGGGATCCTGAATTTCCAAGTACATAACACTGCGGAGAACATAATTAAATTTGCTTGTTGAGTTTTAGTTTTATGGGTTATGATTAATAGATGTGATCTGCAAAAATATTTTATCAGACAATTACATTTTCTTTGTGGCCAACCACATGATTACTATGAAAATGCTTCATGTATTTGAAAGAAGAAAATATGTAGTATTCTCTGGGGCACAGACTTCAGTTACATATTTTAACTTGAATTTATCCTTGATTTCCTTACTTACCCATCCATCAAATTCTGAAAGGTCTATAAAAAATTCTTGCTATCATTTTTTTTCTAAGTCAAGCTCTGCTTGTATCTGCAGGAGTTTTCCACTTTCCTGTTGGTGTCTCTGGATTTATCAGACTCCCACATCAGATCATCTGTTGCATGTTTCATGCTTTTGGTCTTTGGGTTTCACATGCTCACGCTGTCTTGCTGCTGGGCGGCTTGAACTGTTGGTGGTATTAGTAAACAGAGCCATAAAACTGATTAGATCATTTGTATTACTGGCGTTACTGCTGCTGCTCAGTGAGGCAGCCATGCATGCTTGTACCGCTGCTGGTTCGAGCCGGTGGGAACATGTTATATTCTTTTATTTTCTGTGTTTTGGGGAAATATATAGCCGAGGATCTAAGAGAATCCCTTTTCTTTACAGTCCTAAAATTAATAAATAAGTATATCTTATAAAACAGCAAGGCTCAAGATTTAAGGTATTCATCAGTAGGAGGGCAGGAAGCCAGCAGGCCTCTGTAGTGTCTGTTCAAACTGACTTCCAGTGGAGTAGTTAGTGACCAGGTCCTGCTTTTCTGCTGGTAAACATAATGCCCTCTCCTTGGCTGTCCCCAGGGTCCTCATGATAGCCAGGCTTTTAGGAGGAATGGATTGCAAATTCCAGGGATGTGGCCTACAAACCCCTTTCAATCTGTTTTCTGTTGCTATAACAAACATCTTGGGGCTGGATGATGTATAAAGAAAAGAGTTTTATTCAGCTCAGAGTTCTAGAGCTCAGGGAGCACACTTGGCTTCTGTAAGGGCCTCTTGCTGTGTCACAATACAGTGGAGGAGTGACAGGTACAAAAGACAGTGGGCAGAGAAGGCTGAGCTGCTTTGTAACACCCAGTTTTCACAGGAAGTAATCCAAACCCATGACCTGTTAGCCTCCCACTAGGTCTCACCTCTTGAAGCGCCCACCACATCTGGCGCCCTTACAATGGGCAAAATGCCTGTTCTAGCGGATGAACCTTCAGAGGGCAAAACATCCCCAAACAACAGCAGAATCTTCTCTTTCTTTGCAGGTCTGGCTCTTTCTTTGGGTCCCGGGGTTTGGGTGGCTCTACCTTGCACTTTCCTTGTTTCTGCTTTTCCTTCTGCATTTTGGGCAGCAAGATGGGCTCTCTCTGCACTTGCAAGGAAATGACCAAGAAGTACGGAAACATGGTCAGGAGCCAAATATCAGCTATGGAGGCTTCGTCTCTGTCTCACCCTTTTTCTATGCATGTGGGCTTTTGTTTTTGTTTTCTTGAGACAGGGTCTTGGGATATAGCTGTCTAGTCCAGGCTGGCCTTGAACTTGCAATGCTTCTGCTTTAGCTTTCCCCAGTGCTGGGATTGTAGGCATGCGCCACCATACCCACCTTCTGGGCTTGTGTTTCAAGTTACTTAAACTGTCTCAACATACTAGAGCGGCCTAAGCCTGGCTAGACTTTGAGATGTTAATGAGTCAACTTCCACATTCTTCTGCATTTTCAGATAGAGGCAAGTGGCTAGGAAAGACTGGCTTGAAAATACCCAGGGCCTGCTGAGGAAGGCTTATCAAAGAGCCCTCCACATGCTTTTAATATTCATATTTCCACCTCTGGTTTTTCTTTTCATTTGCCTGGTATGTCCTTGCCTAACCTTTCATTTTAAATCTTTCTCATTTAAGATTTTAAACCGTTAGACAACTGCCTTGCTCTGTTCTGAATGTACAGAAATCCTTTCTGTGTATACTTGAGTAAGGGCACTGCCAGTACACAGAAAACACGCAGTTTTCCAGATATTTCTGATGAGAGCCACAGTCAACAGGAGTAGCAAATGAAGTTCCCTGAAATGGGAAAGAAAAGGCAATTTAAAATAACTTGGAGCCGGGCGTGGTTGTGCATGCCTGTAATCCCAGCACTCGGGAGGCTGAGACAGGAGGATCACTGAGACCCGTCTATGCCTCATGCCTGTAATCCCAGCACTAGGGAGGCTGAGACAGGAGGATCACTGAGACCCGTCTGGGCTACATAGTGAGTTCCAGGTCAGTCTCCACTACATAGTGAGACCCTGTCTCCAAAAACCAAAAAAAAAACCAAAAAACTTGGAATAGTGGTCCGCTTACTAAATGAGGACAGAGACATTGTTGTGTGTTGTTGCATAGTTTTTATAAATGCTGCTAAGCCACTACCTCTATATTTTTGGTGCTTGCACTATGTAATACTTTCATTACCTTTTGATTTTATTGTTTGTGTATTAAATATTTTTATTTTCAAAAAACTTTTTTAAACCATTGTCTTGTATTAGCACATAGCTAGGTGTGGCAGGAGAGCACGGCAGAGGCAGGGATAACAGCAACAAAACTAATTTGGTGCATTCTGCCCATGATTTGTTTTGATTCGAAATCATGGTTTTATTTGCAGCACTTAGAGGCTGTTTCTTTCCTCGCCTGAGTTTTGCTGTCTTGGGTAAGTTTCTCATTGTTGCTCGTTCCCCGGGTGCCTGTGTTAGGATTCAGGTTTGCTAGTGAATTAGGACAGCTTCTCTCTCTCTCTGTTTAGAAATCAGAGCCAGGTTTCACACATCTGTTCCGTGAGACTATCCAGGCCCTGGGCTCCTCATGTCATGATGTTCCTGGCATTCTCTAGTGTTATGCTTTGCAGAACGAGCGTGGATTACATTTACCTAGAGGCAGGCTCGCTAGCTTCTGGGCCGCGCCCCTGAAGGTCCAGATTTGGAAAGTCTGTGGGGCCCTGAGCATCTTCATTTCCAGCCAGTGCCCAGGCTGTGCAGATGCCACCAGTCAGTCTTGGGGCCACCTCACCACCTGATGGCCCAGGACAGCACACTTTCAATCTGACAGGGCCCAGTTGAGCTGCTGGCAGGGTCCTTACATGGGACAGCGATGTGCCGAGTGATAGCAAGTGTTCTGTTGCTAAAGCAAGAGAGGGCAGATGGTTGAGGGTGACAGCAGGAAGTTTCTGGAACACCACCCACCGCTCTCCTTACTTGGAGCCTTTTCCTGTGTGTATGAGTCTTACTATTGGCCAGGCCCATCTGCTTGGGAAGTGAGGCATTGTTGCAGGGAGCTCTGGCCTGGGGCTGGTGAACAAGCTGGGAGGACCGCTGCATCCTTGCTGTTTCTGAGAGCCATTGGGCTGTTCCTGGAAGCTGGGTCTGGTGGGCACATGCTCTCCACTCAAGCCGCCTCCAGATCTTTCAGCCCTATGGGATCAGGTGCTCCTTTCAGAACCCAGCTTTGTGACAGAAGTATCTTGTTGTGCCACCTCCTCATGTCTTGCCTTCTTTAACCCCAAATAGAGCACTTTTCTAGGAGAACTTGGGGGCAGGAGCCATTTGAGCCCTACTGAGCTGGGTGGCTCCTGGCACCCCTGACATAAGAGCAGTGACTGCCAACCCAGAGTTCCTGCTGCTGTCGTCAGCTGTCATGGAGGTGAGCTGCAGAGGACATGTCCCACAGGTGCCCCTGTGGCCGATGGTGTGATTCTGTGGAAAGTGTTTGGGAGGCTGCAGTCCTGCCCTCACTGTCCAGGTTACCCTTTATGTTCCCCGAGGCTGCTTCCAGCCTGGGGGAGCCCAGACGTGTGTTCAGTGGTGGGGACCCTGGCTGGGCCATAATATATCCGAGTCAAGAGACACTGCCCTGGGCCTTGTCCTATCTCCAGCCACCCTGCCCCACTTGCAGTAAAATAAGCCAGCAGATCCAGATAATCCCATGAAGGCTCCTTCCAGCGCAGTGTTTCAGGATCCTTGTGTACCAGGGCACTGGGGATGGACACTCTTTTTCTAAGAGGTGTCCTTCAGGACCAGCATGCTCAGGCTGAGCCTCTGGGCGAAGCCATGGGCAGTGCCCGTGGCCCCTCTCCTGACCTTTTTTGCCAGGAGAGCTCCTCAGGATGCCATGGCAGGGCAGAGTCTGCAGCACAGCCTGGCTAATGATTGACGTGGGCTCCACTATTTTTAATTCCCGGCGAGTAGGTGGGGACTTGAATGCTTGACAGCACTTCTGTTGGCTCTTGGGTAGTGCCTGGCAAATCTGGTCAGGGTTGGTGAACTGCTGCCCAGGGGCTCTCTGCCCTACATCAGTGACTAAATGGCATCTGTGAGCCACACTTCAGAGGCGAGGCAGTGCCATACAAGGGCAGAGTTGGGGATGTCATACACCCTTGCATGTCACTTGACGGCCCACCCTGGGGTGGGAGGGAGAGAGGGGAATGTCCTGGATGTGTCCTTCCTGCCCCCAGAATTCCTGGAGCCTTTGTACAGCCCGGGGCTTCCGGGACAGGTGCCACCCAGGGTGTGGAGAGATGAGTCAGGGTGCCCTGGTGTTCCTGGCGGTCTCAGTGGCTGTTGAGGACCTCATGGTGCCAGCCCTGTGCACTGATTTCAGTCCTCCTGGGAAGTCTGGGGTCTAGTGTCCTGACTGTAGCCCTTGTAGGATGTAACCTCTGAGCCTTGGTTCCCTTGTTATAAAGTAAGGTGAAAATATGTGTCAATAGGATAGTTATGAAGGCTACAGGGGTGATGTATCATGAGGTCTCAAGGACTAGAGAAAGAGGAACATGGTTAGAACACTGGAGGACACAGAGCACTTTAGAGTGGGGGAGCTGTTGTGGGTGGGAAGATGACGGTGGGCTTCCTGAAGGAGGGGGCTCCATGTGGCCTCAGGGAGATAGACAGCCAGTGGGGCCTTTGAGGATGAGTCTAAAGGAGGAAATCGCGGGCTTTGGCCAAGTGAAGGCGTGTATTTCCCATGATTCTTTTCATCACACACAGACCTGGGAAGCCCCCTCTTCCTACTATTCCTTAATGGCCCAGTGTAACTCTTAGCCCAGGGTAGGTAGGCATGGCTTGAGATGCCTACCACAGAAGCCAGCCATCCCCAGGACCTGACAGAGACGCCCCCCTGGCCATTTGACCTGTGGGTTCTCTGGAGATTTCTTTCAGCTTCCAGTGTGCATGGCTGCTTTTGTCTTTGCTAGGATATGTTGTAAGGAGGGGCTTCAGAGGCTGCTAGGTGGAACAGGAGGCCTCAGCCAGGTGGCCCTGGAGGGGATGCATGCTCTCAAGTCATCTGGACCTGAGGGCTGAGATTCCCAGGCGGTGACCTGTCCCTGAGGACAGGGTGATAGGACCAGGGCCTTCCTGCTGCCGGTGATGCTGGTCACATCCTCCACCCTCGCCCCCTCTGCCATTTTGAGAGAAGGGCTGTGAATATCATTTTATGGAGGTAAGGTGGCTTATCATCTCCTAACCAGAGAGCCTCCTGTGGTACTTGGGGAATAAACCCAGGGCTTTGCACCAAGCTACATCCCTAGCTTTTTTTTTTTTTATTTTGAGAAAGGATGTTACTAAATTGCCCAAGCTGAGCTCAAACTTTTAATCATCCTGCCTCAGCCTCCCACTGTGCTGAGATTACAAGCCTGTACTACAATGCCCAGCATAATTCAAGAGTCTCTTGCAGGCTTTCCCCTTCTTCCAAAGAGGGTAAACTGTTATAAATGATGCACATGAAATCACTTCCTCAGAGACAGGGCTTTGTGAGGAAAAAGAAAAGTTTATTCCAGTGAACAGAGACTAAAATCGGGGATAGATTTTAGCAGCTAGCTGGGAAAAGCCAAATCTGTTAAATCTATGAGTGGATGGGCTGGCAACCAGAGATGGATATCAGCAGCTAGCAGGGAGAGATTTCACCCATGGGTGGATGGGCCAACATCGTGAGGGAGATATTAGCAGCTAACAGGGCAAGGAATTAGACATACAGGAACTGAAAAGGGGTTTGTAGGAATTAAAAAGAAATATTTATAACAGAGGGTCCACGGATAGCCCATGCAAGCGTGCAGATAATCGCTGGACTTCTGGTGCCTGTAGATTGTATCCTGTTTGGGAGAATGGCATGCTGGCTGTGGAGGTCTCCTCCAGGCCAGGCATGCGTGATGTAAGCTACAAGTCCTCCTCGTGGCTCCGAGACAGCTCCAGTAGATGTGGTGGAGAGCCCGGGTCAGCCCGGCCACACTGAGGGAAGCTGGTGAGTCCTCATCCTCGTCCTCGTCCTCATCCTCGTCCTACCCCACACCGCGCAGGCGCAGTCGCAGTCGCAGTCGCAGAGCCTGCATTTCCTGCATCCCCAGGAGGTTTCAACTCTCCCGCTGGGATGGCTGTGTGTCCTGGTGGGCGCGTGTTCCTGGAAGTGTGCTACAGTGTTTACCTCCCCTGCTGCTGCGGTGAGCCTGCTTCGGGCCAGGACTCTGTGTTCTCCCGCCTCTCCGGGCCTCTCGCCCAGCCATGGGACCTCTCTGAGCCCAGGTGGAGTCACTGTGAAGCCAGTGGCAGCTGAGCACCAGCCTGCCTTGCCCAGGCTCTAACCACGCTCAAGGAGGGGCCCTTGCAGTGAGTGGTTTGAACATTTGCAAAAAGTGTGATGTTACAGACATTACCTTAAAGGGGACCCCTAAGTTCTGTAAGTTTCATGCTTCACAAAACTTGGATGCACTGCTATAGATGCTGACAAAACAAAACAAAAAACAAAAAATTCAAATAGAGCACTGGCTGGGAGAAAGCAACACTGAAGCAAAAGACGTTTTAACTTTTGCCTTTAAAAAGTTTAGTTTTTCTTTTCTTTCTTTCTTTTTTTTTTGGAGACGTGGTCTCACTGCATAGTCCAGGCTGGCCTTGAACTCACTGTAACCCATACTTTCAACTCTCCTGTTTCAGGCGTCCTGAGTGCTGGGATTACAGGTGTGCACCACCACACCTGGCTGTGTTTTGCAAACTAGTTGAATGCTATAGTTCACTTGTACCGACAATAGCCTGTTCTTTAAATTAGATTTCAAGCAGTGCAGTTCTCATTATTGTGCTTTTTTACTTTTATTTTATTTATTTTTCTCTCATTGAGTTTATTGGTACATTTTAGGGATACAGTACAGTTACATTCATCATTGGGATCTTGTACCTCTACATGACAGGTCTTAGTTTAACTTTTATGTGTATTGTTATTTATGTATTGCTATAATTATAAAATACTTCATAATTTAAAAATGAGAAAAGACAAATACATTGATCGGAAAGGCTGTAATGAGACCAGCCATCCCGACACACTCTTCCCCTTTCTCTAAATCTGTGTTTTTATCTTTTTTTTTTTGGTTTTTTGAGACAGGGTCTCTATGTACTTGAGACTGACCTGGAACTCACTATGTAGCCCAGGCTGGTCTGGAACTCACAGCAATCCTCCTGCCTCAGCCTCCCGAGTGCTGAGATTACAGGTGTGCGCCACCATGCCCAGCTTAAATCTCTGTTTTAAGTAGCTCTGTATGTTTAAATAATAGTTTATGTTACTATTTCTTAATTTATCAATTTAGACATTACGTGCGGACTTCCTGCTTGGTTAGATAAGGAATTAATACATATATCAATATTTAATGCTGGCGTTATTGGAACCATAAAGTATATCGTTCAGTATGGTGCCAAGTAATTCATCCGGATTACACATTTGGGGTACAACACCCACTGCCCCTGTGGTTTGCTGTAGCATGTCTGTTGCTCCAGACGGGACACAGCTCCCCAGGACACCGGCCGGCTGTGGAGTTTTCCCTCTCTGGGTTCCATGTATTCATTTCTTTACTTACTTCCTCACCTTGCTGGAGTCCTTCAGAAGTTCCTAAGCAAAACTGCATGAGAGGTGGGGATTTTGTTTTGGGTCTTTTGAAAAATCTCTTCCCCGCAAGTTAGCTGGGTCCATTCAGAATTTTGAGGACCTGGGTCCATTGTCTTGCGCTGTTCAGTGTGGGTGTTGAGGAGTCCAGGGTCATTTCAGTTCCCCAGAGAGGACCTCGGTTCCCATTTTTTTCTGGAAAGCACCAGCGTTTTTTCCTTGCTGCTTCACAGCAATAGGCTTTGCTGACACTCTGTGTTTTTAATCATTGGGCTGCCATGGCATGGTCTTTTCAATATAGACATTTATTTCAGTGTCAGGCAGTGTTCTTATATAGTAACTGGTAATTTTCTTGTCTGTGTTTTTCCTATTTTGTTTTGTTTTGTAGTTTCCTGAGATTCCTTTTAGTCAGATATTGAAACTCTTACATCTTTCCTTTTGTTTGTTTGTTTTTTTCTTTGATCCTTGGGGTCTTGTTGTTTTGTTTTGTTATTCTTTGTCCTGACTCAATCATCTGCGCTTTTTGGGGTTGCAGTTTTAACTTTAGCCCTCTTGTTTTCAATTCCTGAATACCCTTTCCTGTTCTGTGATCATTCCCCTCTTTGTAGCATCTTCTTTTTGCTGTATAGATACAGTATTTTCTTACACCCTGAGGATATTATTATGCTTTTGTCCTCTGCTTCTCATCAGCTTGAGTTCTTCTCTT